TAATTTACAGTTTCCTGACCCCCGAAAAATGCAGATCAACCTCACTGGCTTTCTGAATGGAAGAAATGCTCGATCTTTCATGGGTGAACTATGGGACCTCTTGGTCTCTGCTCAAGAAAGTGTAACGGGCATTCCAGAGGCTTTCTTGCAACAAAAGAAAGATCAAATAAAAAAGCGTTTGGTAATTATCAATTTTTATATTCTTAATACTGTGTGAACTAATCTGATAATAGCAAAACAGTTGAGTTACTAAATTTTGACATTCAGGAAAGTTCAATTAAATGAATGCTTCTGATGCATGCAATTCAGTTTATACATTTTTTTATGTTTATTTATAAATAAGTGATTTATGAAAACAGGAAGAGCAGGAGAAACTCCAAGCTTCTTTGGCGGAGAAAGAAAAGGAAAAGGAAAGGGAGAAAGAAAAAGATGAAGCCGAAAGCAAGATAAAAAAAGAAGAGAAAGAACGTGGTTCTTCGAAGGAACGTCGAAGAGATCGAAGTAGAGATCGTGATAGAGACAGGTATTTCTTTGAATTCATAAAATATTACCGTTATAGATCTTTAAAAATGTTTCAAAAATACATATGTCACTACCTGCAGAAAAAGAAGTCGATCGAGAGATCGACACAGAGATCGTGACAGATCGAGCCGCAAAAGACGATCTTCTTCGAGATCGCCTAGTAAAAATTCTCTTAAAGACAACGGAAAAGATATGACTGAAATTAAAGTCGAACGAGAAGATTCACCTCAACCTGAAAATGCTATACCGCTCATGCCAGTTAAGACAAAACCGTAAGTATTCTTCTTTTGTTGCTTAATATAAACTCCGGAAAGGTTATTTATCAAAATGTTTTAATAGGGAAGCCGCTGTTGCGATATCGCGATTACAAGCTAAATTAATGAGCATTGCTGATGGGAAAAAGAAAAACAATCGTACTCCATCTCCTGAATCATTAGAAAAAGCAAAAAAATCTAGATCTAGATCAAAATCTCCTATAAGTCGCTCTAAAAAATCTAGGTCCAAATCGCCCAGTCGAGATTCAAAATCACGTCGTTCTCGATCACCAGCATCTAAGTCGAGGCGATCTCGATCTAAGTCAAGATCAAGACGATCTAGGTCTAGGTCAAAGTCTAGAAGATCAAAATCCAGGTCGCAAGATCGCTCGAAATCTAGACGTACAAAGTCCAAGTCTCCAAGATCGCATTCAAGATCTCGTTCACGATCTAAAAAATCAAGATCGAAAAGCATTGATAGAAGTAAGTCTAGAAAATCGAGATCTGATTCAAGCGATTCAAGATCATCAAAATCTCGTTCGAAGTCACCGGATAAGAGAAAGGATACTCTCGATTCCAACAGGAAACGAGATGCAAGTACAAGCAGTAGCTCCGAATCAGAAGAAGAAAAAGGAGCGAAAGATAAAAATGACTTCGAAATTAGAAAGAAGAAAGATGGAGTACAGGCAAAAAGATCATATAGGAAAACAAATAAGGATGATAGTGGTAGTGACAGTGACTCGAGTCGTGAAAGAAAATCAGTTCCTAAGCGAAGGAGTCCAACGCCACGAAAAGATAGAGGTCGATCAAAGGACAGAGATAGATCGCGAGATAGATCACGCGATAGATCACGGGATAGGTCTCGGGATAGATCTCGAGATAGGAATAGAAGGTAACTATAAATATTATTATATATTACAGATGTTTATTACAATAATCATTATTAAATATGACTTTCGAATTATCTGTGTTCAGGAGATCCATAGACAGAGAACGTGAAAGAAGAAGAGAACGGGAGCGAGAAAGGGAACGGGAGAGATTGGATAGATACAGCGGCAGTCGCAGCATGCGACCTCCATCTGTGCGCAGAGCACCTAGTAGACGCAGGTATAAATCGTATTCGTTACTCATACCTTTACGTAACTAAATGTCATCGACAAATTCGTAATTATTGCAGAAGCCCTCCTCGGAGAAGCCCGGCACGATATCGTCGCAGATCACCAAGTCCCGGAGATAGGCGCCGAAGGAGATCTCTCGATCGAAGACGAAGATCATCGGAAAGAAGAGACAGACGTCGATCTCCGGATCGTCGTGATAGCAGACGTCGTTCGCCAGACGGACGGGACCGATCCCTCAGGTACGATAGATCTTCCTCTCGTGACAGATCGAGTAGGCGAGACCGTTCCAGAGACAGGGACAGAAGGGATAGAGATAGAAGATCTAGATCTAGGGATCGTAGGTCTAGATCAAAAGATCAAAGATCATCGGTGGATCATTCGAGAGATGGAAAACGATCTCCCGATCGCTCAAGAGATGCTAAGGAGAAGACAAAGGACAAGAAAGTGGATGAAAAAATTAAAAGATCAACTGATACGGGATCGCGAAAAGAATTACGAAACGGAAGGTCTAAGTCAAGTAGCTCGGAAAGTAGCGAAAGTAGTTCCTCTAGCAATGAGGATGAAGTGACCAGGTGAGTAAACGAATTATCTCATACATTCACGTTTTGTTACAGACCTTACGATTGTCGGAGCGTAAAGCAGCTACGTTGTGTTTCCTGCTTAGCAGTGAACAAACGTTCTTACTTTCTCTAATAATAATTTTCACTGTCTGTGTGCAGAAAGTCACTAGAGCGGAAATCGTCTCAAGAAAAGCGAGAACGCGAGAGGGATCGTGAACACGCAGATGAGAAACGTAAAGAAAAGGAGAAGCCTATCAAGGAGGAATCCATCAAACGACCCGAAAAGGACATCAAGAAAGCTGAACCTGTGAACATCAAGAAACCAGATCTCAGCGTTTCTCCTAAAAAACTTCAATCTGCTACGCTTCCTGTAACTAGACACAGGGTAAGTTTAAGACAGTCATTTGTATTATATTTGTAATATATAACATATATTTCTAGTTTTGTAATTGAGTTTTCTTCATTATTCTAGTTTTCGAAGAGTTTATCTAGAACGCCGTCTCCATTTAAAAAGACTGAAGACATCATAGCAGCGGTTAAAGTCAAACAACCATCGAAGTAAGTTTGAAGTCCTGTTCTTTAAGTACTGTTTAAGATATGTAAAGAAAATCATTTACTTTAAGCATTTATTGTCCTTTTTAGAGAAGATAACAAAGAGGAATCACCAAAAGAAGAATCGAGCTTTTCATCTGCGGATACGTTCCCGTTAAAAAAGGATGAAAAATCGATCAAATCAATCAAAACTATATCCGAGGACAAGAAGTCAGGTCAAAAATCGGCAGAACCAGTTCTCTTGAAAAAGCCAGCAGAAGTAATAAAAAAATCGAAGAGGGAAAAACGCGATGGTTCTACAGATTCAAATGATAGTGAAAGCGAAGGTAGGATAAAATTGAACATGCAGGAATTATGTTTCTTTAACATTTCTTACATTGTTTCTCATTGCAGGTAAGAAAAGATCAAAAAAGTTAGAGAAGTCCAAGAAATCCAGGAAAGCTTCCACGGATGAAGAGAAGTCGGACAAATGTGGTTCTAGTTCAGATTCTGAAGAGGAAAGAAAGCACGCAGAGAAAACCAAAAAAATTAGGGATTCGAATCGAGGTGGTAAATTTTACATAATTTAATTTTGCAATTATAATTCCTTTACAATTTTACAAATTTTTAATCCCCGTGGTTTCCATAGATTCATTAGACGAACGTACAAAAGACAGAAAAGATAGTAGAAAACGGGAAATGAACGAGAACGAATCTCGTAAGCGACCGAAAAAAGAGTTAGAAGAGGAAACGAAGAAATCAAAAAGATCTAGGAAAGATTCCTCTTCGGGAGATGAAGAACAGAAGATAAAAAGAAATAAAACTGAAGACGACAGGTCCAGATTACGAAAATCCAAAAAAGATTCGAGTTCGGACGATGAGCCGAAAAAGACACGAAAACGAAGAGATAGTTCTTCGGAAGATGAAAAGTCAAGAACGAGGAAGTCAAGAAAGGATTCTACAAGCGAAGACGAAGGGAAGGTACGTTTGAAAAAATCTAAGCGAGACTCAAGTACAGATGATGAAGAGATTGGAGAAAAAGATGCGAAGAAAAAGAGAAAAGCGGATGACAGTTCAGATGAAGAAAAAGTGAAGAAGAAACGTAAGAAGAAGACTAAAACTAGCACTAGTGAATCAGAGGTAATTGTTTATTTCATCGAGGTTTAATTTGTGCAAAATCTAGATTTTCACTTGATTCATTATTTGTAATTTGCATTTTTAGGAAAGTGAAGTAGAAGAAAAGAAAAAGAAGAAGGATAAAAAGCACAAGAAACATAAGAAGCATAAGAAACATAGAAAACATAAAAAGAAGAAGGTTGCAGATTCTGACGAATCTGATGTAAGTGAAGGTAATACAGAAGAATTAGAAAAAAAACTTCGCGAGAAAGCATTAAAATCGATGAAGAAAGGACACAGCATAGAAGGAAGTGATTGAGGTGTTGTGTGATTTATCGAGGGTGTGTTACGTGTGTGTATCTCTGTATTACAATGCACTTGCTCTGATTGTATCACGAATACATTTCTGTTTATTATTATCGTTAAGTAGGATTTTATCGTGTCACACTTTTTGTGTAAAACAAGTCTGATGTTACTAAACAGATCCATCGCTTAGATGAAGAAACCTAATTTTTATGACCCTAAATATTAAGATTACGAAGTTGAATACAATAGCTGTTTTTTTTTCTTATTAGCAAATAAAAGTAGTTCTTATCATAGGAATAATAATTTTTGTGCCACTTTAATGTACGATTTTTACATCTTTTAAAGTTGACACAACTAAGCAAATACATAGTTTTAGTAGTTTATAAGTTTACAAGCTAATTATCATTTTATAGCGTATTGATGAATTTAATTTCTAAATCTGATTTATGTAAAAATAATTTTTCATTGAATTATCTATTATTAAGCCAGAAGCATAAATTGCGTCTTGGAACAAAATATTAACGTATTTTATAAGGAATCACGCCCTCTTGTTGACGTATTCATTCACATAAATTATATAATAAACTTTATTCTACAATTACTGTAAATTTATTTAGGTGTATGAATTACTAGTGGATTTGTACGTGATATGACTTTCACGTATACTGTAGTATTGAAAATACATGATTTTTGAAAAATTCGCTTTTTGTATCTTAAATAACATTAACTTTCATTACATTTACAAATATTCCACATAATAAAGAGTATGTAATAAGATCCATTCATATTAAAAATTTATTTATAATTTGGCTAGCATTGATTCCCAATCAGGCGAACATATCAGCGTACTGGTTACTGGACCTAAATTAATAAGATCACCGATTAAATTTTCGGTATCCACTTTTGCGGCAATAAGATCCTGCAATATTAATTATTATTATTATAATTATAACTTCATCCAATATTTGCGATCATTTCAGATACATACATGTCGAAAACTAAGATGTGACCCAACATCAACAGTTAAATTATTTTCTCCCAGTAATAAGCGTGCTTTACCCGATTTTAATATCTGTAACTTCCCTAAAATACCAGGTTTTAAACTATTTAAAGTACAAAATTCTGTTTGTTGTTTACTTTCATTCTCCTTTTCGTAATTTGCATTATTTGATCGAGTTGGTCTAGTGTCTTCTGCACCACCTACTAAACCTGGTAAACAATCTGGAAACTGTATTAATTATTTAGTGAATTATATGTGAAAATGAATATTACTTTTATTTCATTTTTAATAGAATTCCTTACCTGCATTAAAATATATGAATTTGCTTTATTTTCAATAATCTTGGGAATGCTTTCTAAAAATTCATCTTTTGTTTCTACATCAGATTTGGGTATCTTAAGTTTATGTTCCTTCTTTGGTGGTAACACTAAAAGTAATGTTATTATCATTATAGATCAAAAGAGAAAAAAGGATTATACTTACCCTCCCCATTTTCCAAAATAATGGGTTTCCTATCTATTTCTTCTTCCTCTTCTTTTTCAATTGATACTTTAGTGTCCTCCTTGTATAACTTTCCTATAATAAGTAAAAATCAATAAAATATGATTTTTTAAAAAATAGTTACTAATACCTAAAAAGTAATAAAAACCTTTGATCATTGGCAAAATAACTGGTCCATTATCAAAGTTTATAGGTTCTCCATCATCGACGAAATCATCTCTTAGCAGTAACTTTACTTTTTCTTCTTCTTCAGCTTTATCAATACTACGGTTCAATTCTAATTTTGGTTTCTCTAGACATACTTGAGCACTTCTATCACTATCCCTACAACCACCGCTATAGCGTTTTCCTGGTGTACTCACTATTCCAGTGGACCAAATACCACTAGACTACAAACATATTTTATATAAAATATCATAATATAAAGTTATATGAACTAGAAAAATATTTTCATTATACTTGAATCAGATTGCTAGATCCCCTCCCACGTCCTCTGTCGCGTCCTCTATCTGTATTACCTCTGCCACGTCCTCTATTATGGTCTCTATCTCTACTTGTCTTTGCAGAATCATTTTGCGTCGAGTCTCTGGAAAATAAGCATCGTTTCATTAAATTCATAAACTCAATCATTAATTCCTCTTATAAAGTTGACTTACTCTTTTTTCTTAGTTCTCTGAGCATTTAAATTTGGTATATATACTTTCTTGGATTTCTCAGTCTTAATGTTACCCCCCAATGTTAAATCTCTTGGCAATCGGAAAGAAGTTAATCTAGTAGTAGTTGATAAACCAGGTTCTGTTTTAATGTTTTGTATAGGTACAGGCAAAGATGTCCCAGGTTCTACCTTTATTTGGATATTTGGTGGAAGTGAATTGCTTGCATCGTCAGACTTGTCAGAAGACATTTTTAATTATTACAAATCAATTAACAGCTAAAATCAAATATTATATATTAGTTATCGATAAAAACAATGTAGTTTTAAAATATATTCTCACCACGAAGAGATATAAAAAGTTTTTTACAATGATGCTACAATGATATTTAAGCACAGTACATCACACATAACCTCTAATATACATAATAATCACAAATTTTATAAAATGTCTTTTATCAAGACATATAAGTATCAATAAATAAATACGACATTATAATATAAAATTTCATTGAACGTGTCTTGCGATGTAACTTATAAATCTTTCGGATCCATAATGCATACGTTCGCTATGTCGCATAGGTCGCACGTGTCTTACTATACTCTTCCATTTTGTTTTGCATGTATTGTTCGAAATGCATATTTATTTCTGTATGCATTTTTAGTTATGAGTACAATTTTAATTTGAAAACAGAGATGATACATCAACAGATAAAAATAAAAATAATTTATTTCGACTTGTTCGTATATTGTGACATGTTATGTACACATATCCTACTTTTAATTTAAAAGGCAGTCATTCTTTTACAGAATAAAATCATGTAAGACAGGTAAAGGAATTTTGTATTAAAAAGAACTTCATAATTATATTTTCATTCACATTCAGGAAATATGTTTTTTATAATAATATCTCATGTTTATATCGAATATCCATGTGTTGCAAGTACAATTAGAGTACAGTGGAAAGGCGGGTATTTTTAAAATTACCATAAGACATCGAAAAGTAAATACGATTTTTTAGCGTGCTGGTATCTTGAAGTCCTGGCAGGATATTCCAGATAAGCGATAATGCGAACAGTAACCTCCAGGAGACGATGGAGGTTAGCGATGTTTTCAGGATGGCTAGTAATAGTGACATGGGCAGGAGAACAGACTTCGTGTGATGAGGTCATCGTATGGTTTTTTAGCCGCGCCGGCAGTCGCGACGCGGAGCGCCCGAACGCCGGCTGCTACGTATAATCCTGCGGCAGGGACATGCTTGCCATGTGCCTACCCACGACGTATCGTTTCTCCCATCGCGAGTGCAACGTGTCCTCTTTCTTTTTCGGTGTCACGAAACCGTCGTTCGTACGCGAACACGTTCACCTTCCTTTTAATTCATTCGCTTCGACTTGCTGGTTCTACTTCTGATTACGATTTTCAGTGAGTTTCGAGCCCCAAGAACCTGTGGCTACGAGTGCCTGATTTCGAATCGACGTAATTTCTACCGGCTAGACAGATGACCGATTTAAAAGGCGACCGGTCAACTACGGTTCTTAAACCTGTTTCTCTCCCCCTTGGACATGGAACACGTCGAGTTTTCGAGTAGCCTGCCTTCGTGATACCTGCGCGTGGTATCTTTCGGTCCAAGTCCTTTCTAGTATTTGATCTGATGAAAATTTATCCGCGAGAGCGGCATTCTCCGCTTCAAGATCAAAACATGTTTATGCACGAACTCCCGCGGCCCGAGACTATTTCGTATTTTCGATCGATTTCGCCGCTAATACACACCACGGGCTGAATACCTTTTACCCTTTGTAAATATTCAAAACTTTTGTGAACACCGCGAAAAATTGGAGGGGGCGGTGCTTCGAAGGATACCACGTGTTTCAGGGTACGCGACGACGAGCAAAATATCGCGGCGCAGGCGCGAACTGCGGTGCTCGGTAGGCGAGTTTCAAATCTCTTATCGCAGACTGCAAAGCGTGGTTCTGCATGAAACGGTGCGCGTTTTGTTCATAGAACCGTGAACGTTAATTCTCGCGTGTCGTCCACCGGATGCTGTCAGATATACAGAGTGTCAAATTCGAGATTACTCGCAGGAATCGATAGCCAGTTTGTTAGCAAAACTTCGCTGGCAAAGCTTGCAAAAGCTTGAGATCATTCGCACAGTTGACGTTTGAAATAAAAAATATTAACAGACCGGATAAAACGATTATTCTTCTTCGTTGATAACCGTTTCATTATTCGGACGATTCGGCCAATGTACACGGATCGTTTTGTGGTCGTTTCGATGCAATCGCGTTTCGACGTTTGCATGGTAAGATTGTAAATAACCAGTTGTTTATAGAGACAACCTGTGTCGCGTTTCGCAAGCCTTACTTCCTTCGTTGGCATAACATTAGCAGAGTCGATTTCGCGATTGACCGTTAATCGCATCGTTGTCTTTTGTCGGTTGAGTCGAGGTGCAAAAACGGTGTGTGAAATCTCGCGTGAATTCGTGTACTCGAAAGACGTTTAAATGTCTTTCAGTTGTCGCGCGCACGTGTACGAGGATGCGTCGAGGCGACTCCTAGTTCCTATGAGTTTAAATTTTTGACTCGCGTTCGCGCGTGTCGGTGTTCCGCGTGGTATACCATTCATCTCACGGCGAGAACTTGTACTCTGTTGAGTGGCGTTTCGAGAGTTCTGGGATATCGAGGATCGTCGAGGATCGTCGACGCTACAAGGAAGTGGCTCGGACCGGAAAAGCGATTCTTTTGCCAAGATGAACGGCGTGCAGCGAATGCCTAGTGACGCCTTCGACACCAAGGTGAGATTACAATTTATTCGTTCAAACGTCTGCGAATTAACATGTCTCGAATATTCTGTACATAGTAGACTTATGCAAATGACCATTTAACACTGTGCAGCATTCCTGGATAATTAAGTATTGCTGTGAATTAATATGAATAACGTTACGACGTCGTAAGCAACGAACGTAGAAACTTTGTTAGCGTGGACAGGCGCGCGACAATCTATGAACGTGTTTTATAAAAAATAAAATATGAAAATTACGATGCGATTTGCTCCAAATGTGTCTCGATTTGCGAGGTTATCACTAGTCGATGAAGTAAACCGAGACGGCGAAGATTATTTAAAAAGCATCGTTTGACATGTGTATACGTAATCGGGTCGACCTTGGCCCGCGTAACCCAGTACATAAGACGTCCTTGAACGGGGTCGTTACTTCTCGTAGGATCGTACACAGTTTCTGTCGTTGTCTAGGCACTTTGTTCCGCCTATCCGTGGCCCCGATAGGCGTGTTCCCACGTTAAAAACATTTTTTTTCTCTCTTTCCGCAATGCGACTCGTCCTTCGGTAACGTATTTTCGACAAACATCACTATCGATTACATCACCTGTCTTGTATAGGTAGCCAATCGTTTATCGATTTTACTATTGCTCGCTTCACCATTGCGAATCCGTTTTAAATTTGTTTGTTCACTGCAAGTAGATAAAAAATTGATCATCGTCAAGTTCTTGGTCCCATTCGAGAAAACGGAATGTCCTCGGAAATGGTTACCAAGAGGACATCGATCGCGGCTAGATTTATACCGTGCAACCTCGCGTGTTACTTTTTTCTCACGGAATACTCGCGGTAGAAGCGCTATGTTTCTCCACGAACATATTTCATAGCGCTTTAGATTATTTGCACATTAGTAAAAAAAAAAACCTGATATCGCGTGCGATGCAATAGGAATTCTTCCATCGTTTCACTCACTTGTCCGTTTGCTTGTTGCATTTCGATTTCCGAGCAAGATTCGATATACCTTCTATCGACTAACTTCGTCGTAGCAGAATTAATATTCTACAGCCTATAACACTCCAGTTAAAGTATCAGAAGAGTATTAGTTAACAGAGATATTTTTTCGAAAAATTGAGGAGAATCCACGTTTAATTGGAAGCTCGTAGCAATCGCTCGTGTCAGGAACAGACTCCGGTTCCCTTCCACGGAGATCCTTCATGGAAAACTCGACAAGCTGGAGTAAGGAAAAAAAAAAAAAAATACGAGAGTAGAGAGGCGACAAAGGAAACGCGTATACTCTGGTCTCTTCGCCACAAATACGAGCAGAGTTCACCCACTTTCCTGCCTGGCAAGGTGGTCACCGAGAGAGCATTACCATTCGGTAAGGGGCTCGCTGGTGTGCGTACGTGCGCGTCGAACATAACGTGCAATTAGGTGTCTTAACGCCGAGGCTGGTGCACCGAGGTAACGCGATACCTATACCGGTCTATGGCAACGCGACTCCATCGAGCCCGAGCTTGATTCGAGCTAGTCGACACGCTAGCGTCGATTTCAACCCTCCAGGCTTGTCTCGTCGCCGTCGTGTTTAGAAAACTCCTTCGATTGCCTGGTATTTTCTGCCTGCAAAATTGTTAGATTTCAGATCGTTTTATACTTTAGTGGTATAGGCGATTACCAGCGATTGGATTCGTTGTCCTATAGCGATTTGGATTTCGATTGATTTGGGACTGTTGCTTCGCATTTATTTACATTAGGTATTTGCTTCGTCAACAAGCTCGACGATTTTTCTACTATGGACGAGAATACGGATGGAGAATTTAATGTGTACGAAAATAGAAGAAAATAGTATCACGGTGGAAGAAACGACATAGTCCGATATCTCTTCGCAACAGAGATCTCCGAAATGCTGTTTACGCAGGCGAGTTGGACGATAACGTTACCCTTAGAGAGGAAGTTGGTGTAACCGATATAAATAGCGTTGACGAATGCCGTGCAATCTCGTAACGCGATCGCCTCGCGATTTCTTGCGCTTTTTGCTCCTTGTTTCGCCAGCCGAATAATACACGCCATTCGAGGCGGTTAATCGATTAGGATGGCTTGGATTGAAGCGATAAATCTATTACATCGCAACGATAGACCTAAGTCAAAGATATTGCCGTTGTTACGGCGTTTACGCGTTGCGTAAGCGAAGTTTATCAGCAGGGCAGTAATCGGTAAAAAAGTACACGACACTGTTGATTCATTCTTCAAATCCGCGAACACGGTCACGCGTGCTTTCGAGGATCCTCTTACAAGTTAAAGTTAATATTTTGCAAGTCTGGTATCTGTGACGTATTCGCGGACGCTTTGTCTTTCCTCCTAGGACAAATTGAAGACGAAACGACACGCGAAGGTACCGGTATTTTCGTATCCACGTACATCGTTCGCCTGTCGGTTTCGCAACGAGTTGCTCGTTTTCTCGTCACGACATTTCACTGAACCTTCGTCGCTCCGTGATGGCGATCAGGCTGCTAATTAAACGGGTACACCGAACGATCCCGTTTCGATATTTCGCATAGACGTCTTAGCCATGGTTAGCGCAAGGTCTCGTGTTATTAAAATGCAATAAACTAGTCGCGCGTGCTACGGGAACGTTCGAAGGCTGGTCTATCTCGAAGCTCGAGTGAAAGCAACGGGAACCCATTCGCTCGGCCTCTTTTTCTTTTTCCCTGCTCATGGTTTTTTCAATCGAACTTTAGTTTCGCGTTACCCGTAAGACTTTCACGTAGCCACGTCCAGTTGTGCGCTTGCGACTAAGCCAGACTCACGTGACTGAAATCGAAAATCGCCGATCGTATCGCGGGGAGCCGCTCCACGCCGT